GCGTTGTTTTCTGTCAGCTGGGGGTTTACGCTGAGATGGGGACTTGAGGCGGGTTTTTTTTTTTTTTTTTTGGTATTTGCAAAGTCAGTGCTGAGGACTGTGCTACTGGAGCCTCAGAGGCACATTCAAGCCCCAGACAGCGACCCGGAGCTGACCATGGGTCAAGTCTTGGATGGGCAAAGCCCAGGTAACCTGCATAAACACCTTGAAGCTGGTATTACTATTACTCTCATTTCATAGGTGAGAAAACAGCCCCAGAGTGGTGAAGTCTCAAGAATTAAACCGACTGGGTCTGATGGATGCCGGTGCTCGAGTTCTTAAGGCCCTTGTGGACCACTGGTTGAAGAAGTCTGTGCAAAGGGCTGGGGTTTGGAGGTTTAAACAAGATGGCTTCTCAAATGAAATGCTCCTGGGACACTGCTGCTTGGGGGATAGGTACTGACACCAAAACCTGAGGCCAGAGAAGAGGAAACCAGGGCTCAGAGGGGCTGAGCCTGAGCTGGCTTGAGATGGCAAGCCCAACACCTAGGGTTTCCTATACACCTCCATCGGTGTAGCCCATGTGGAGGAGACAGAAAGGTGGCCTCCACGCTGAGGACTCAACTGACCTCTGCATGCCATCATGTCGTGCTAGAGGCCATTCTCTGAGTTGGGTCCCTCAGGCACTCTGTGGCTGTACCTCCCTGCCCTAGTGAGGTGGTCATCTTGGCCTCTGATGTCCACACAGGACCTGTTTGCTTGGTGCTGCCCTCTCAGCCCCCCTGCAGGACCCACATTCTCCCTGAGGCAGTGGCCTTGTCCTGTCTGGCCTAGCCCCACTACTCAGGCTTTGGGTTCAGACCTCACAGCTGTAGCCTGTTCTCCCCGACCCTGGTGTCACCAGTTTCTCTCCCCAGGTCATTTCTACCAGCATACAAACACCAGGATTACTCAGTTTGAGCAATGCAGGCCATGTCCCCTCAGACAGGCTCTTCCTTTGTCCTCTGTAAGAGCTTCCTCCCTGCTCTGCTACAATGGTTTTGGTCAGGACCTCAGGGACCTTCACACTTGCCCAGGCCAGCAGTCGCCTCTCTGCCTTGGTCTCACCAGTCAAGAGACAGCAGACACTACTGCCCTTGGCAGAATCCCCCAACTAGTGTCCACATGTCCGGTCTCTTTAGGGGGCGGGGGGGCCTCATCCTGTGCCATAGTTCCCCATGGCACTTGCGGGACTCTGACCAAGCCCTGAGCCCCAGCACGCATCCCTCAGCTGTCTGAGGGTCATGATGCTCAGAGGGGCTCTCTTCCCTGACTCCTTTGCCAGTGATGGTGCCAGACATCCACCCAGACAGCCACATCAAAGCCCGGCCTTGTGCTTGCTGCTACCTCCTCACCTAGACTGCCCCTGGCAGTTCCCTGTGGGCTCTGAAGTCCTATATGGCTCTGCCTCAGCTGCCTCCACCTGCTTCAAGTCATCACCTTTGATTTTCTTCTAATTTTGCAACCCACAGTTGCCATCCAACAACCAGGTAATTTCAAAACCAAATTGGGTCATACCTTTTGCAGCTCAAAGCCTCTAGTGAGGCCTTGTTGCTCCGGGAAGAAATCTCATCTTTGCCTGGAACCACCCTCAGAAATTTATCCCCTGCATGCTCACCATACTGCCAGGCTCCAGCCACAGTGACCACCTCCTGGGCCTTAGCCCTGCGGGCAACCACTAAACTGCTCTTTCCTGGTGTGCAGGTCTCAGCCTGTTATCTCTGAGTGGCTTTTCCACTCCAATTAAAGTAGCCCCGCCACCGTCTGACCACATCACTGTTTTTCTTTATGGGCTTGCCTGCTCCTGCTGCCCCATCTCCAAGTAAGGCCATTTCTCTGGAGTGGTGGTGCCCTCGGGGTGGGTCAGCAACCCTGGTCCCTCCGCTGCTTATTCAGTATAGATGGTTAAAGGGTACGTGTGGAATGAGGGAATCCTATTTAATTCTCACAACAACCTGTAAGGCTTAATGTGTCCTGGGAGAAATGAGGGACAGTTTCCCACTTCAGATATACTGAACAGGTGCCTTTACCCCCAGGGCACACTTGGCTGTTAAAACTGAGTGGTGGGGCTAGTACCAGCATCTAGTGGGCAGTGCTGGGGGCATCTGCTCTGCTCCAAAAGGGAAGGCGCAGGCTCAGGTTTGTGCGTGCTTGCTGGGCCTTTCCTAGTGCAAGAGACCTGGGGATCCTGCTGCCTCTGTGCTTGAGCTAGGTGCTTGCTACTGCCCTGCCTCCCTTCAGCCTGCTCAGGGCTGCCCCATCACTAGGCGTAAGCCAACCACATTGCTCTCATGCACTAGCCACAGCCTGGAGCTTCCCGCCCCCACATGGGACCCCACTTTTAAGCTCCTCTGCTCAGATCCTAGTGGTCGCAGATCTCTGCAGATCTTGAGCTCCTGGGTACCACCTGCAGCCCTGCACCCCGGGGACTGTGCTGTCTTCCCTGCCATGCAGTTGGGGTGGCATGATGGTGTACTTACTGTTGATGATTGCTGTGGCTAGGATAGATGCCATGCCGGCCTGCTGGGGCAGAAGCTGGATGTCAGTGTGTGAGGGGGCCAAGCACTCGGGCTCTGCTGGCTCCTTCTTCACAGGGTGGCTGGGGGTGCTGTGAAGCTCAGCTGAGAGGAGCACGCTCAGCAGTCCACCTGCTGGCACCGGCTTGGTAAGCCTGCACCAGAGGGCTTCATCTGCAGGGGTAAGAGCACCCGTGATAGGAGGGCCAGGAACCCTGGGCCCACCACCCCTGCTCTGCCAAGACTCTGCCCATCTTATCCTCGTGAGCCCCTCATCTTAGAGATCAGCATTTTGAAGCCTGGGGTCGGGGATGGAGCCAAGGCCATGGTCAGGGAGTGGCCACATGCAGGTCATAGCTGTGGCTGGCTGTTTTCCACAAGCTGTCTTGCCTCTGTGGGGTGACTAGATGGTCCCCCAGGCCTGCCTGTACCGTGGGCCTCCCTGCCCTGAGCCTATGGAGTGGGAGTGCCCCGAGGGTGGCTAGAACAGCTGTCCCATTTTGCAGAGGAGGGGTGGTATGTGGGACAGGGGGCAGAGCACCTGGGGAGGGCCTAGTAGCTGCTGGGCAAGGTCCTGGACCAGCCTCCTTGCTCCATTCAACTCTGATACTGCACTGTTCCCTCGGCAGCCTGCAGGGGGCAGCGTTGGCCAACAAGACCCCAGTGAGGGGCCCAATCATGTCTGTCAAGCACTAGGCCACTCAGCTGCAAGAACCCTTTTCCTGCCTGGGAAGACTCAGGTGGCTGGAGTCCTGCTGGCCAGGCTAGCAGGAGGGGCAGGCCAGCCAGGTAGTGCTAACTGGCTCATGTCCTGGCTGGATGTACAAACTCAAGGCTGACCACTTGCTGCCATAACCAGGCTCTCCAGTGCCTTACAGCTGCTCTGGGTCCTTAGGGTACCCCTTGGTGGGGAGGACGGGCCAGGGTTCTTCCCCCATGCGGAGGGTTAAACTGAGGCACACAGGGTGAAGTGCTGGCCCAGGTGCACAGAGTGGATAGCAGGGTAGGATGGAACGTCCAGTCCCCAGATGCTGAACCCAGCAACACCTTGGCAGCTCCCAGGTGGGTAGAGGCCAAGTCGAGGAGCTGGTCACAGGGCTGCTGCCTGGCCCCAGTGGCCTTTGGCTCTGTCTGGAAATGAGAGCCACTCTCAGGATGGAACTTTACTTTTACTGAGGACATTTGGCTGAACATGCTATGTGCTCAGGAGGTGGTGGTGGGTGTGACACCGCCAGAACATTCTAGCAAAGTGAAGCCCCCCATAGGGGAACAAGACGGGTCTCCTGTGGCCAATGGGTGCACAGCCCTCCCAGGTGACCGTGTGGCAAATGGCCTTCACTTAGAAGTTGTCACGTGTCTGTCCACACACCCTTTCCCGGGACCCAAGCCTCCTTACTCGTAACAGGGCGCCCTCATCACCCTGACACTCTGACCCTCACACATCGAGAAGGCTATGCTGCACCTTCCGCAGGAATAAGGCCACCGGGGCAGGCAGGACTGCAGTGATGGAGACAGGTCCCTTCATCTGTGTGGCCTGAACTCTGAAGTGAGAAAGTGAAGGGGGCGAGGACACCTATCCTGTTCTCCCTCCCCCTGCCCAGGCTCTCCCTCCTGGGTCCCTTCTTACGGAAGGTGCAGGGAGGCAAGAGGGACATAGGAAGGAAGCCGAGGCAAAAGCTCTTGGGCTATGAGCCCTTGTGCTTGATCAAGCTCTTTCCTCAACATCACAAAGAAATGGAGGCCCCAGAAGGTGAGGGGACTTACTCAGGCCCCACCCACAGTTAGGTTTGGACACAGCCCTCCTGAATGTTCCTGGAGTGGGCCACACTGCACATGCCCTGGCCCAGTCGGCACCTATAGCTGGGCCTGTTGGTCTCCCTGGCCTGGGTTCGTCCACGGCTCCAGTGGTCTCCCAGAGGCCCTGAGAGTTGTCTCGGCTTCCTGAGACCCCGCTTCCCCACCCCCAGGGCAGACATCTGTCCTGCCCCAGATGGTTGTTAATTGGGGTACTGGGGGTGCAGTGGTGGCCAGCCCCTCAGCCTGGTTCAGAGCAGGCTGGTTTCCCTTTAAGGGCCAGCCAAAGGACCTCCACCTTCCGGAAGGCTGAGAGGGAAGCGCCAGATACCAACCCTTCCTGTGGATCTCCGCATTGGCCTCGGCCTCCGTCAGGGCACAGGGCAGTGTCCTCAGCCAGCAGGCCTCGTCCTCCAGCAGCAGAGTCAGGGCTGGGCTCTGGGGGACAGAAAGGGGGCATCAGCAAGGACGCAGAATGGAAAGAGCCCAGCCAGGGACTCCCGACGGGGTGTGTGGGGGAAAGCCCAAGAGACTGCCTGGTGGGGTGCTGGGCCAGGCTGTGGGATTGATACTCATCAAGTGCTGAGCTCGTAACACATTTTAGGGATATGGCGCTGGGTTCTCTTGGAAACAGGCCCAGAGAGGTCAAGCAACATACTGATGGTTACACAGCCAGCCAATGGCAGAGGGTATCACCCTCAGACCTGTGTTCTCTCTTTACCACACCCCATCCTGGCAGGTCACTGGGAGCTATGGCACATTCCATGGGTACATGGGGTTGTACCAGGCACAGGCTCTTCCCACATGAGCACCCAGGGGCCTAGAAAATGAGCTCTGTGGTCTGAGGCCAAGATTGGCTCAGAGAAGACAGCATCTCCCTGGAGAGGGTCTTTTGTGTCTTTTCTGACAGTGGGACTCCCTCCCCGTTGCAGGGCACACGGTGGGCCCACCTTTGTCCTGACCATCCCTGGGGCCAGGACATAGTGGACACTTGAAGAACACCAGTAGCTTTTTGCTGAGGTCTCCAGGCAGCTTGATGTCCCCATGCTGAGGCTGGCTCAGCATGGTCTCCTCCCTGTGACCCCCATATACCAGCCCCTTGCCCACCCGGCCTTGCTGCCAGCCTGGAGAGTAAGCAGTGTCCTCTCATCTCACAGGTGAGGAAACTGAGGCATGGGGAGGGAAGGGAAGAGGGGGGACAGTCTGAGCCAGCATCTGGCCCAGCCATGCTCTCTCCCCAGCTGGGTCTGCCTGTTGGCCTTTGTAGCACCTGGAAGGAAAGAGCACTCTGGGTTAGGCCCTCAGGGCTGGGCCTTGGATGGGGGTGGCCTGATTTCCAGCACCCTGCAAAGCAGAGGAAACACGTGTCCCCTGTCCCAACGCAGTCTGGTGTCAGGAGATGGCTGGGTGGCATGGGCTACCTACAGCCCCACTCTGTGGCCCAGCCCCTGACATAGTGCAGACCCATGGTTGGCTGGCAGGCAGAGCAGAAACCTGGCCCTCTCTGCCTGAGACTGGGGTGACTGCTGCCACCTCTCGGGCCTCAGCCCCACCACTGGACCCTGGTTCTGGGCAGCTCTGCCTGGAGGTCCCAAGCTCAGCCACTGAGTTCCGCATAGAAAGGTATGGTGTATGTTAACATTTGAGTATTTTTGTTTTATAACTTTTACTTAGAAACTGAAGAACCAATGTCACTTGCTGTACCTGGAAATGCTATCGCCTAGACAGGGGTGGTTTTGTGTACCCTAGGGCTGCACATGGCAGTTGGTGAGGATGCTGCCATGGTGGGACGGCCAGAACAGGTGATGGCACGTGGGGCATCCTCTGATGGGTTCCAGGCACCTCCCTGCCAGGTCCAAGCCCATAGCACTTTCCTGGGCTTTGCCCATGCAGACCATAGGGGCTCCAGACCTGGGCATCAGGGTCTAGTCCAGGCTTGACATCCCCTACTGTGACCTTGGGCAGGGTATCACTCCTCGACCTACCCTCTAACCACCTCCGTGTTTTGTCCCCATCTGGTGGCAGACTCGGGGACCCAGTAAGATCAGGCCAGTGTGCTGGACACTCCTGGTAACAACTCCCAGCCAGGTTAGCACACCCCAGTTCAGTCATGGAATGGGCGAGCGGAGAATAGCTGGCCAGCGGGTCAGGAAGAGCCCTGCCATCCAGCACCACGAAGCCCTCCTTGGAGCTTCAGCCCAAGCCTGCATGCTCACTCTGGACCCATCCTGGTCCTGCCAACTGCTTGCAGGATGGGTCACATCCATGACTCTGTGACTCAGTTTCCCCCAGGGCATTGGGAAGAAGCAATCTGTGTGAAGCCCTCCTTTGAAACAGTGCCCTCCTGGTATGTGACCAGCACATGACAAACAAGCCCCCACCATCCTTGCTTTCACATTCCCTTTGGCCAGCAGGACACGCCAGGCAGGCACTTGCCTTTGGGCCCGGGAGGCTGGCATCCACTGCAGCACCAGCCAGCAATCACCAAATGTCAACTCGAGGTGGGGCTCTCCGCCAAGGAGCCGCTTTGGGGCAGGCTGGTGTCAGGCAGCTCCCTGCTTTTTTAAGACACCAGTGATTCTGACACTGAAGAGTAGGGCGCCAGAGCTGGGTGCCAGCTGGGGGTCCCCACTAGCTGGGAGTTCTGTGGAGACCACAGCGGGAGACAGGCCTGAGGCAAAGTGGAATGGGTGGGGCTGGCGCAGTGGTGGGTGAACCAGCGGGGCCAGCAGCTAGCAGCAAGGCGGAAGCTGGGGCCTCCCCAAGTCTCTAATGAATATTAATGAGTGGAGGAGAGTGAAAAAATTAATCTGCCTGATCCTCTGATGGGTGCTGCGGTAACGATATGAAATCTAATTATTCGTCCCAATATTTCTAAACCCTCAAACTGAGACTGACAGCCTCCCCGTCGGTTTAATGCTTATCACTCTCAGGAGCGCGTGTTCACAGCATGATAAAAACCCCCGCGTCCAGCTTTGCTGACGCTGCAGAACCCCTAATTTTCCGTGTATGTTCCAAGCAGATGGAAGGCAGGGGCGCCATGTCCCTGGTCAGCTTTGTGCCTTCTGCTTGGAGCAGCCCGTCTCCGTGTTCTGAAGGGTACTGAGTACCCAAGCTTGGTGGCTGCCCTGGCCGGGCTGGGCTGGGTGATGGCCCTGTCTTTGAGGGCAGGTGAGGAGGGAGGGGATGAAGGGGTCTGGGGGGCCTCTGTCCTGCACCCTGCACCTGACATCCAGGAGGAAATGGGCTGGGAGATCCAGGGCTTTATGGCTGAACTTCACCCCTAGATTGCCTCAACTCTTAACACTTGGAATAGGGTAGGGCTGGCTCCTCACTTAAATGGGGAAGGCTCGAGATGGAGGGGGACAACTGTCTGAATGTCAGCCCAGCCTGCTCTCACCCCCACCACCCACCCCAGGCAGCCAGCCCCTTGCCCTGTACCAAGCAGCCTACAGGACACCTCCCCGCCCCCAGGATTACACTGGGTGAGGAGCAGATTTGTCTCTTTTTCCCTTTTGGAGGGGCTGACACTATATAGGGTTGCCCCATTACTCATTATTTTTTCTTTTTTCCCCCTATTTTCTCCCCAAATCTCAGCAGCCCGGGAACAGAAGCCCTTTTCTCTGGTGGTGAAGGCACTGGCTGAGGCAGGTCCCCTTCCTGGCCCGCCCTGCCTGTGGGCAGCAGGGTGTAAACCTGGAAGGGGCCGTTTATTCATAACTCCCCACTAGCCCTCCTGCCAAAATAAGCAGAGCCCTGGGTGCCTCCAGCCACCTTCCCTCTGTGGGTACCCCAGTCTTGGTGCCTAGTCTAGATTCAGCTTGCCCTGGACAGGCCCTGTCCAGAGTTAGCGAGAAGCCCTGCCCACAGTCCTTTGGGGTTTCCCGGCCCCTCCCTCCTGGCTCCAGGCCAGCCCCACCCAGCTCCTGGATAACCGGCGGCCACTTTAAATTCTCTGGGTGCATCTGAGAACGCTCCTTGTTTCCCCAACAAAGAGGTCAGTGTCTGGATTCTGTGCCCACTGATAACCATCAGAAACCCTATCTCTGCCGCATCCGCTGTGACAACTTTATCTAAGGCTGTTCCCAAACCTGGCGGTGCTTCTCTTAAAGCTGAGTTGAGGGGAGGTGGGGGATCTGTTCTGAGGGAGGGTGGCCCAGCATAGGAAGCAGACAGCCCTGCAGAAGGTTAATGGGGCCACCAGGCCTCACCACCAGCAGGTTTGTGTGAGGGCAGGGCTGGGGCAGGCCAGGGGGGGCTCTGACTAGACCCTCCCCTCTGTCCTTCAGCCAGTCCTGAGAAACCACGAGCCGCCCAGAGGCAACAGCCTTCAGTCCTTGGGCCCTTTTTGTCTCTCCCAGACCCTGTGAAGAACCCATTTTACAGGCAAAGAGACTGAGGCCCATAGAGGTGAATGGTGCTCAAGGCCATGGGAGGTGGCCATGTGCACACAGGACTAGAACCTAGGTCTGCATGATCTCTACTACATCACTGCAGACTTTTCTTTCATTCATTCATCCGAGAGCCTGCTTTGTGCCAGGTGTGGGTCACTGTGAACAGTACATGCAGTCCTGATGTCCTGGTGTGGATGCTGGAGTAGAGAGGCAAAAGCAAGCCATGGAGGCTGGAGGGTCAAGTTCTGGAGAAACAGGGACAGACCGAGAAGGGCTGAGGCTTGGCGGGTGCAGGTGCAGGGTGCAGGCCACTGTAGCCAGGGCAGTTGGGGTGAGGCCTGGAGGGGTAAAAAGGGGAGTTGTGTGGACACCAGGCAGGAGGGGACATCGGGGGGAGGGATAGCAGAGGAAGGGAAAATGGGGGGAGGGGATGGCATGGGGAAGAGCCATGTGACTCCCGGGCATTTTCCTCCGGGTGGCCCTAGAACTCAGGGAGGGAGCCAGCCATTTGGGTGGGCTTTGTGCCCTGGCCCCAGAGGGGTGGCCAGGGCTGAGGAGAAGAGGTCTCTCCTAGCCCTCAGCATGGGTCTTTCCTATGTGGCAGGAGGAGTCCTGAGTCCCTGGGACCAGCTGAATTCTCCTGAGCCCCCAGGTGGCCAGTCTGGGGGCCAGCAGCAGGTCTCCTGTCTGGGGTTTGTCCCTAGGAGGGCACCCCATGCCACACTCTTCCTTACCCTGGGGCTCCAGAGGAGCCCAGACTTGACCATCCTCTCAGGGGCTGCCCCATGCAGGGCCAGGGGCCAACCTGGCCAGGCCCTAGCTTTGCTACTTGCTAGTTCTGTGGAGTGGGCTGAGTGTGGCCCTCAAAGATATGTCCACGTGCATGCAGCCTGAATGCAACCTTGTTTGAAAAAAGAATCTTTGCAGATGTGATTAAAATAAGGATAATCCACACGAATGATTATCCAGGTGGGTCCTAAGGAGACAAAGTGTCCTTAAGAGAGAAGAGAAAGGGAAAAGAAGAGGCAGAGGTGGGACCGACATGTCTCCAAGCCAAGGAACTCTAAGGATCACCAGCAGCCACCAGAAGCTGGAGAGAATATAGTTCTGCTTAAGACACCAAGTTTGTGGTACTTTGTTACAGCAGCCACAGGAAACTCTTACATTCTGGGGAACCTCTCTGAACCTCAGTTTCTCCATCTGTATAATAGGGCTATCGGAACAGCTGCCTTATGGTTGAGGGGAGTCAACAGTGTCAGCCTAAAATTCTAGCCTGGGGCTTGCTGGGGAATAACCACCTTAGTCCTAGTGATCTGTTGGCATCCCCAGCTCTGGGCCAGGCTATACTCCAGTAATAGGGGAGGGGGAAGGGAGCATAGCTTCAGGGCATTTCCCATTGGGTCCCATGGGGCTGCTGGGTCCACTGGACAGAGGACAACAGGCGGGAATGATTGGGAGAGGCCCCCAGAAGCACAAGGGGCATGGAGAGGGCCATAGGGCTTATAAGTAAGGGGCAGTGCTGGGGCAGGGATGTGGGCAGGAATGGCTGGCGGGCCAGCTCCAGCACTGTTCCTCTGTACCCAGGCCTTAGTGGGCAGCAACCACCTGCTGGTGGGGTGTTTTACAACATGTCATTCGTCACCGACTCTCACTTTCCAGGTAGGAACACTGAGGCTGGACAGCTGCAGCCAGCAGCAGGGTGACCCATTGCACCTGGTGCTGTGATGTGGAACGCTTGAAAACATTTCAGCAGGTGAGCAAAGCAGGATGTAGGGTGGCTTGCAGTGCATCCCTATCTGGATAAAGAAAGAACTCAGAGCACCCCACACGTGGGCACGTGGGCTGGGTCCCCAGAAGTCAGTGCAGTGACAGGCCGGGGGTGGGGGATGTCTTCCCTGTGCATCCCCTGTCCCTTATGACCTATTACAAATAGATGTAAATGAGAATCAAAGAGGAGAAAGGAACATCACTAGGCGTGCACTTGGGCATCCAGCCTCAGCTCTCCTCTGGCCCCTGGCCAGGGCTTGCCCTGCTGTGAGGTTTGGCTCTATTATGGCAGTGACACCTGATGCCAGCATTCGGGGCTTCCTACATGGAGGGATGCTAAGAGCCTTGGGATGCTACACCCCAAGGGTCCCAGCCCCATTTCTCTTTCCAGGTAAGGGACCAAGGAGGCCCACCCAATTGACCCTCTACACTGATCCCTGAGCAAAGACTCGCCTGGGGCCACATGGCAAGTCAGGGCCTAGAGGGTCTGATTTCAACCTCTCAGGGTTTTTCTCCACTGAACCTGTTGCCCTGCTTGGCAGCCATAGGCCCCTCCCAGGTCTCATTGATATTAATGGCCTTATGGCTAAAGTAGGTAAGTCCTGTGGAGTCAAATGGACAGACAGATGGGCCAAGCCAGTGTGGGCCAAGCTGGGGTGAAAGAGCTCATTTGTTTGTTCATTCATTCATTTGCTCATTCATTCATTCATTCATTCATTCATCCATCCACCATCCATTTATCCACTTATTCACCATTCGTCCACCCGCCTTCCATCCGATCATCTATCCACCCATTTATCTACCCAACCACCCATCCATCCATCCATCCATTTATCTACCCAACCACCCACCCATCCATCAATCCATATCCATCCATATCCATCCATCCATCCATCCATCCATCCTTCCTTCCATCCATCCATCCATCCATCCTTCCATCCATCCATCCATCCATCCTTCCATCCATCCATCCTTCCATCCATCCATCCGTCCGTCCGTCCGTCCTGAATATTTCTTTTGTATCTGACTGCAAGTTTTAGAGCTGGCTGGGTCTCTAAGCCCTGGTTTCCAATAGTGGAGGTTGCTATTACATCAGGGAGGGACTTTCCAAAGGTCACACAGCAGGTTGGTGCCGGAACCAACTCTTGACCTGACACCAGGCTCTGTGCCCTCTGTGTCCTTCCTGGGGCTCCCACCCACGTCCAGCTACCTTGACCCCACTCCTGCCTATGAGTGTTCTCCCCACTCCCCCAAGGAGACCAGCAGGAAAAGGTGGCCATACCCCATCAGTGCCTCTCTCCCTCCTCCCTCTCCAAAGAGTGAAGACAAACCGCCTGGCTGGTGATAGGATGATCTGGGGCAGGAGGTGTGTGGGGGAGAGAACTGGGACCCATCAGCTGAGCTCGATAAGGGGCCCGCTGAAATGTTAGCAAAAATATTTAGACAATAAATGAAGTATCAGAAAGGCACACATATCTTTAAGAAATCAATCATCTTGTTCGTGCGTCTGGACATTTGGCGCCAAGGCAGAGATAGCGCCTGCTGGGGAGATAAGGGTTAATCAAGGATTTAATTCTGCAAGAGATAAAACTGCAGGGAAGAGCAGGCGAGGCTCTTTCCTCCCTGGGCTCCTCCGCAAGCGCCTCAAAGGCCTCTGGCTTCTCTGGGGCTGGCTCCCTTGTTCCCTTTGGACATTATCTCTCTGCCTGGAGAGGGTTTCCAGCCTCGTGCCAAGTCTCCCCAGAATGACCTGTGCCCCAGGCCCAAGGAGGACAAAACTCCCAGAGAGGAGGCTGCAGATGGGAGGGGAGGGCAACGTGGGGACATGGCCGGGATCCTGGGGCTGGCGAGGGTGTCTCCTGCCCCTCAGCCCTGTCCTTTTAGAGCCTGTAGGCGTCTCTGGGGTTGGGTGGACCCTCTGCTATTTGATTCGATGACTTTGGAAAGTCACTTAACCTCTTGAAGTCTCAGTTTCCTCATCTGTAGAATAGGGACAGTGATCCCTGACTCAGGGCGGGAGGGAGGAAGAAAACAGAGGCTGTAAGGATGGGCGCATAGTATGGTGTCGGGAGAGTCTGGACACTCAGAACATGCCGAGACCCCCCGTCCTCAGCCACCCTGCCTTTGCCGCGTCACTGCTCACAGGTTTTCTTGACACTTTGAGAGTTCAGAGATGAGAACCGAAGAGTTCCCAGCTCACTTACTCATCATTCCAACTATTAACTGCGCCCAACAGCCTAGCCTCTGACGACTCAACTGCTGCTTGAATGCCTCCAGTGACGGGAAGCTCATGGCCTCCAGAGACTGCTCTAAACACTACAGAGGAGGGAGGGCCCTAACTGCTAGGTTGGAGCTGGTTAGGGCTATCAGGGTGGCATTTGGCCTCCAGGTGCCAGTGTTGAGGGAGGAGCCCCACCCACACAACCCATTACTTCCTGC